CAGGGTGTTTCATTTTATGATGGCCTGGAAGCAGTGTGTGTGCAGAAGTCGGACTGCAGGCTCTGAGCCTGGGCCTCTCCCCTCTGCTGCCCTCGCAGGCACAGGGCTCTGGCCGACCCCCAATCAGCAGGCACCACGACATGAAGCGCACCACGTGGTGAGCCGTGGCATCATGCGGGGTCGGCCCCGCCTGCACCTGCCTCTGGAACCTGTCTCGGCTTCACTCGGCAGTGGTCACGACACAACCCGGGGGCTGCCAAGCTGGGGACCAGCCTCAGCCGGACCCTCGCTCCTCCACCCCAACCCCTTCAGCGAGGCTCTAGGGGGGAGGCACTCCCGCCCGCTAGGTCTCCAGTGCTCGCTCCACCGGGCCCGGCCTGGGTGCTGGAGAAAGAGGCGTGGCCAGCAGCAGCCCACAGGACAAGGGCCACACACACTGTCTCTCTGTCATCTGCCACGGACAGCACCAAGGGTGAGGGCGCTCGGACTGGCAAGTGTCCGGATGCACAACAGAAATCACCGTGGAAAACATCTGCCACTGCAGGAGGACCACCCGCCACGGGCACACAGGCGAGGGCTTCCGTGTTTCCTGCTGCACACTCCAAATCTCCCGCCAGAGTCTCACCACAAGAGCGGGAAAGGGACACACGTGTTGCTGCCCTGGGAGCCAGCACCCCCTCCGCCCCACGCAGGCACCTTGGACATGGTCTCCGGGCTCCTTCTTCTTCTGGGACCGCCCCGTGCTCCTGCTCCTGGACCAGGAGAAGAAGGCCCCTTTGCGCTTCTTCTCGATGTCCTCGTCCCCTGCGTCCTCATTCAGGGATCTTCCCGATTTTGATTTCCCACTTAGCTGTCAGCGAGTGGAGACCCCCATTAAGGCAGTGAGAAGCTGGCCTAGGACCACGCGACACACTCAGCACTGAGGGGCAAGCAGTGTGCTTGTGCAAGGGCCGCTGGACCCGCAACAGGCTGAGGTAAAGCACACACCACGGCCAGGCGTCCGTGTTCCCTACGGGCACCACCTCATGCTGTCACCAAGGAGAAGGTGCCAGGGACCACAGCCAGCCCAGCCCCAGCCCAGCCCCAGCCCTGAACCTTTTTGGGGGTGGACGCGCTGGAGTGGTCAGAGCTGACGCTGTGCTTGGAAGCCGGGCTGCTGGGCACTTGCTGGGCATCTGGGAGGGCGCGGCCCTCCACCTCTGCCAGGATGCACTCCTGGTACAGCTGTGACTTCAGAAAGCGTGTGTAGCTGTCAAACTTCATCAGATTGAAAATCTGGGGAGCAAGCACGACACAATGTGGTTATAGGGGCACAGGGACGGCTGCCTTGGGGTCAGGTGGTGCAGGGCCACAGATGCCCACAGGCCGGGCTCTGGAATGGCGTCGCTTCAGCCACCACCCACGGGCACTGCAGGGCTCCAGCACCACACTCCAGCATGCCTTTAAATCTTCCTTTCTCTGACCAAAGAGCCCTCCTTTTAGCACCCTCAAAACGAACAGATTCTGGAGAGTTATGTAAAGCTCACAGTCGCCGTGCCAGCCTGGAGGACATTATCTTGTGATAGGAGGAGATGGAAGGCGGCCACAGGAGACCCTGGTCCCCTTGTGGTGAATGTGACCCCTCTGGCTGGCTGGGCTCATGCGGCCGGTGATGAGCCATGCTCTGGATGACACGGGTCTAATCCCATGCTCTCCCCTGGTACAAGCACACAGATAGCCCCGACCCTTATGGTGGGATTCAGGGTGTTTCATTTTATGACGGCCTGGAAGCAGTGTGCGTGCAGGAGAAGCCGGACTGCAGGCTCTGAGCCTGGGCCTCTCCCCTCTGCTGCCCTCGTAGGCACAGGGCTCTGGCTGACCCCCAGTCAGCAGGCACCACGACATGA